AAGAATTGCTCAAGAGTGTCCCAAATGAAATCCTAAGCATAGAAACAGGGGAAAAACGAGATATACCTCAAGGAAAATGTTGAAATGACACAAGGATGACTGATCTCCTTCTCCTCTTCTTGATCTACTCCTCTTTCTCCTCAAAACCTTCAAGAACACACCAAGAAAACTTTAACCTCTCAAGGAAATAAGGGAAAACGATGTTGGGGGAGTTCTGGGGGTGAATGGGGACGAGTTGGGGGCGGAATGAGGGTTTAAATAGGATGCAAACCCTTGAAACTTAGGGTTTCATCCAGCAGCGGTGACTCGCCAAGTCCAGGATATGGACTCGCCGAGTCGCCCACTTAAACGTGTCCTGAGTCTCGTCCCTACTCGGCGAGTCGGACCTTATGACTCGCCGAGTCCAAGGCTAAAATAGGGCAATGCTTAAATAAAATTCACATACCGGAAACCAGGTGCTACAATATTATTTCATATAACATCTTTTATTATTATTGTTAATAAAACTTTATTATAATTTTCAGTTGTGATTTATTATATTTTTTCATATATGTTTATTTGAACAACTTAATTAACTAATTATATAACAATTTTAATTTACTTCATTTACTGTGGTTATTTATTTTATAATATTTTATTATATATTATTGTTATTGTTTTTTCATTATTTCACAAATAAATATTATCATATATATATATATATATATATATATATATATATATATATATATATATATATATATATATATATATATATATATATATATATATATATATATATCTTCAAAATATATTTCACATATTCATTTAAAACAACGATTATAATTTTATATAACTAGAAAAATATATATCTTTACTAATAATTTATTTACAATAATTGATTTGTAATTATGACTTATTTTACAAAAAAATAATTTATTTTATAACCGTGGTTCCTACGGGTTATAACCTTAATATACAAATGAAAGTATTAAATTTTGATATTTAAGTACACAAAAATATGAGCAAAGTCAATATTTTTATTAGTATAATAAATAAACAAAAATACAAGTGAAAAAACATATTTGGGAAAACACTATAAACATAAAACAATTTCAAACTCATCCACATAAAATCATTTTTTGAGTGTAAAACCCTAGAAATCGACAAACATATTTTATAAACACCATTTTCACAGTTGTAAGTATAAGATCAACCCCAAATCTATTTCTACAAAAAAGAAAAAAAAAAAAAAAAAAAAAAAAACAATTTTTTATACGACTCATGGCAACCCAAAAGAGAGTTCCTCTATTGCTTCACACACCAAAGTATCAGCTTTTTCTATATTCTAATTAAGCCACGAGATGAAAAATTAATAAACTAGTCGATCATATTATTGTTCTTGTCATTAAGAACCTAGATTGTACTTTGGTCACAAAAGTTCTTCAAATTGATTTTCACTTCAAACCAACTATTTTCAATTAATTAGGTCCATAATGGGACATTAAACACATTGTTTTAACATAGTATCACACTCGAATTCACCCATTTATTGCAAGAGTCGAAAAGCATCACCTCTAACAAGAATCATTTGCTAAGAATAAGTTAGCTAGAAAAATTAAAAGCCGATTACCAAAAAGTCAACCTTTATATGAATTTTTCGAGTCATATATATGATTATAAACTTATAAAATAAAACCTTCAATAATTGCTATTCAATCAAATCCTCATATGATCAATTAAGGATTTGCCATCAAGTTTGCTATTAACAACTAATCTCACATAATCTTCTGAATCAATTGTCTTATATTTTGGTGTCTTATCTTTAACAAGCTCCATCAATGGCCCAATCATAGCTTTGACTCCCGGACTATGAAAAGCAGCAATGGAAATCCTCTCTCTTTCAATGTTGACCATAGCCCTATGCTCAATACTAGTGTACTCTCCATTACTCATTATCTGTTTCAAAAAGTAGGCAACATATTTTGATTCATTTGTTTAAAATGGCTTAATATTCTAAAAGATTAATTGATTACCTCCATGACATCACCGATGTTGACAATAATTGATCCTGGAATGGGTTTTATGGGCACCCATTTTGAGTTCTTCTTGATTTGTAGACCTTGAACTTCATTGATTTGAATTAAGAGGGTTATCCCTGTTGCATCTGAGTGTGGTGCTAACCCTAAAACCTTGTCTGCTTCATAACATGGAGGATAGTAGTTCATTCTGATACCTTGTGTGCAATTTTCATACATGTTGCTAAGTGTTGCAGGTTTGATTCCGAGGTTTATAGACATTAACTTGAACAATTCCATCGAAACGCCTTGTAATACCTTTGAGTATTCATCTAGAGTTGTTCTGGATCATAATAATTCAAATGAGATCATGTTTTGTTCAAAACAAATCATGATTGAGTTGAAATTTATGAACTCTGAATACATAATTACAGATTGAATTTGATCGTTTAAGAATAACAGACGTACAAATTACCTGAATGAAGGCGGAGTTTGAGGCCAAAATCTCATGTTTCGTTGGGGGATTGGCAAGGTTAAGATGAAGAGCATGTCACCCCAATCAAGTTTTTGATCCTCAGAAACCACAAATGCTTGACCATAACCTTCAATGGAGCTCGGAATTTGTGCACAGTTCATCTTCTCCTCTAATGGCAGCTTGAAGAACTCCTCTGTAACCTTCTTCATTGCATCTATGCTTTCCGTTATCCCGTGATTTATCAGCTGTTTGCATTAGTAAAGCTCTCGATCAATAATTAAATTCACCATATGTGTACATATACATGTGTGTGTATGCATGAATTAATCACCTGGAAGAAGCCCCAATTCTTACAAGCAAGATGAAGTTTATCCAATTCATCATCGTAGCCAGGTTTTCCTGCGACGGCGAGTTTGCTAATGTCGATCACCGGAATTTGCAGCGATTCATCAGTTAAAACCTCTTCCGACTCAATTTCCGGTCGAATATACCGAATCGGAATGTCTTTCAAGTCCTTGGAAGCAAGCGCTTGTACATTATCAACAGGAATCGAACCACCATACTCAGATCTGTTCATCACCTCGTCGGTATTTTCTTCCATCGTCGTTGCCTAACCTGTACGATTCACATGGCTTCTTCGATTTGAAACTTGTATATAAGTTTGCCGAGTTCACCGATTTGTAATTGAATCCATTGCTTTATGTATTGTTGTCCTTGGAATTATTTATCGATTGTTTTGTAGTTGTGACGTTGTTTTAAACATTCAACAACAAGAGATGCTTGCTCGGCCGGCCGGCAGATCGACCGAGCTTTTATCAATTGAATTCATAGGCGTGTGTGTATGACGTTGTTATGAATGTATTTTGCGCCGGCGCCGGCAGAAGGTATCAATTGGCTTAAACACACTATGGAGTATGGACGTCAAGGTTGGCAAACACCATTCTTTGACCTGGACATCTCGAGTTCGGTGAGCCAACTCGGTAATCGGTTGTATAGGAAACAGTTTTTTTTTTTTTCACCAGCACCCCACTTCATCATTTAAATCACATTATTAGAAAATTACTGAAATCGTACTTTTGTCAAAACGAAACGTTTCGTCCCTAACTTTTTTTCGTACTCGGATCGTTTCTATGGTTTGATTTTGTTGCATTTTCGTCATTTACATATATAAAATTAGTGATCAAATGTGCAATTTTAACCAAACTATAGGGACGAAAAACGCAACAAAATCAAACCATTAGGACGATCCAAGTGCAAAAAATAATAATAATAATAATTAATAATAATAATAAACGTACAATTTTGACCAAACCATATGGGCAATTTTAGTAATTTACTCTCATCTTTTACATGCTTTTTAGAATTTCATTTTCAAAAATCAAAACTAATGAAAAAACAATTTTGAAAAATACAAACATTTTTTTGGCTTATTAACTTAAAAAAAAAAAAAAACAATAATTCAGTAAGTTGTTCTTAAAACAATCTCAAACACATTTATATTTCAAACATTTCAAGATCTGATAGTGATATATGTTTGTTTCGAAACAATTGTTAGAATACAACCTATCCTAAAATTCCCTCGTGACGATTTCATGTTCCAAAAAAAAGGTATATATATTACGAACTAGAGATTGTTACATACTAGATGTAAATAGATAATTAGCTTCAAGTACAATTTTAGTTTGATAAAGATAACTACTGATACTTTACCTTTAATCAAAATAACATACGAAGGTATACATAATATCTATCAAAACCTCATTTTGACATAAAAACTTCTTTTAGCTGATACTTTGCCTTTAATCAAAATAACATATGAAGGTATACATAATATCTATCAAAACCCCATTTTGACAGAAAAGCTTCTTTTAGCTTCATTTGTCTTGATCTTTAAGAAATCTAATACCATAGTAATAATCATCAATCAAGTGCATGCTTATCAATTTCCATAATATTTACTTGCACTAGCATACCCATCAAGCCTAAACATATATATGAGGCTTAATTTCTTAGATTTCAATCTTCTAAATATTAAAGTAACATTTCTCTCCCACAATGAGTACCTAATGGTTGAAAAACAAAATTCTACATATGTCATGCTTAGGATTCGAATCGCATGACCAAAACATTTCTAGTGCTTCAAAATTGACATTCCATGCGATGTACCCAAGACAAATTAAGCATTGATGATACGTGGTTTACCATTTTTTAAAGATCAACTTAAGCTTTAGTTATGACCCAAGTCTACATTCTAAACTCTAATACATATATAACATACTTGGTTTAGACATAAGCCAATGATAATTCTTATTGTCCTCGTCTTACTGTAATTAATGTATGACAAATACTTATACGAGTTTTCTTGACACATAATCATATATGTTTTCTAAACCACCATTGCCACCACATATATACACATATAAATTTTGCTTATAATCACATATTCTCATTACCCCAATTAATCCTCAACTCTGATGAACATTTATCATGATTGATTGAGAACTAAACACTCCAAAAGAAATTGTCCAGATTAGAATCCCATAAGTTTCAACTTTGCATAATCCAAAGAAAATTCAACAATAACACAATCTGTAACAACACGTTCCAAACAAACAGTTTTAAAATTTAAATCTTATGTTTAGGTGTTAATGAACCTACAATTCTTTCTTATTTCTCCTTGTTTTCCCGTAAGTACACGTATATTCCCCATTTTTATCATTGAATGCGCATACAACCCAAAGAAATATTCTTCATCCAAGGCAAAAGCCCAAACAAGGTCTCTTATTTCTCCTTCCACACCATCATACAATAACACATTGTCTGAAATTAGGAGACCATTGCCACTTTTAATGTTGTGAAAATATTGATTGTCGAATCTTGTTGGGGTCATGAAATCTAGTGGGACCAATGTGTCGTCTCTTCCAGATGTCGGACATATTGATTCTAGAATCTTCTGGAACTCTGTCTTTTGTGCGGTGATTGTCTGAGCTTGACATAGAATCTTTGTAGTCATAGATTCTTTGTCTAAAGCTCTTACATTTTGCCTTCCCAATTGTGTGGCTACCTGTTTCATGAAAACAGATAGCTAAAACAAATGTTACAAATATCTATTATTGAAGTAACGTTAAAGATTTTGATTCGAGAGTACAACTTTATTTTTGTTTTTTTTAATCTTAAAATGATTGATTCATGTTCTAAAGAATCACATATGTTTTGTTTTTTCACTATCTTATATGAAACCGTGTTACTTTTTTTTTTTTACCAATTTATGCACCACGTTTCAACCAATAGGTTTAAACATAAAAGTTGCATATTTCGTTTAAAGAGTTCGAAAAAAATATGAATAATCATTACATAAACAAACATTTAACCTTTTTTTAATAAACAAGAAAATTTTGGCAACCCAATCCAACCCGTTAACCTACCTGAAAGAGTAACCAATTCTTGAATGCCAAGACCTTGAGATTGAAAGTTGGCAATTAGGGTTTCCAAAGAAGAATTTGGAGAAGGAATAAAGTTATTTGCACCATTCAAGCTTGCTTTCATTGAGTCTCTCCTTCCTAAATACACATTCCACTTGGGCCCACCTCTCTTTTCACCAAAGAAAGTAAGTATCAAGTTTGCCAAAAGAATCCAAAAAGTTTATATGTTAGAACCGAACAGTTAATACTGCATTTGACATGTATTGGACTATGATTAAGACTAATGTTGATGAAACAAAATTGCAGCTTTTATCTCATTTAAAACAATGGAGCAAATTTGGACAACGAATTTCTCTCGGTCTCTCAAATATGCAAAAAGATGAGAATGCCCTTGTTCTATTTTGATTGTTTTTTTTAAAGTGTAGTGAAAGAGAAGTATATGTACCAAAGCTACGGCATCCCGAGCAACAATAGCTAGAAGATCAGCACAAGACACAATACAAGGACATGCTTCTTCAACAAGGTATTTGATTTCATCAATGACTTCATATCCCCTTAAAGAGTTCAAATTAGGTTCGGCTTTCTTTTCACTTTCTACACCTTCAAAATCATCCAAAAGAACCGAACCATCGCAACCCTACATCAATTTATCAACAAAAAAATGTCATTTCATTATGTAGGTCCCATTTACATGCTTGGAATTATACATATGAGACCCAAGTAATGAAAATGGTCTTTTTAGTTTGATGGAATGGAATGACAAAATAATTGAATGGATCGGGTAATGGAATGAGTCATTATGTTCCATGGTCATGTTTGATATTTCTTTTAGAAATGAAATGAACTTTCATATGAATTTTATATTATGTGTAAATACATAATATGATTTTACCTACATTTTGTATATCATTTAATATAAATTTATAATTAACAAACTTCTATTTACAAGCATAAAAAATTAAACACAAATAAAAAATCATTAAACCCCAATTATATAGATAAAAATAGGTTATATTGTAATTTTTCATTCCATTCCATTATTAATGAAACAAACACCCGTGACTAAGAATGAAAATTAACATTCCTTCATGAATGGTCCAGTCCTTTCCATGTTATTGGACAAAACAAACAAAGATTTTTTTTATTCATATGGGAAGAGCCATTCCATTCCTTCTCTAATTATATCATACCAAACACAACCAACAAATGCAACATTATCTTATGTAATGACCCTTTTCCAAGAAATTGGAAAGCAAGAATTGTGGGCCCCTTATAACCTTTAAGTTGTGGGCCATGGTTTTATATCGATGTTGATGTTATTAGGCTAGTCTAATGGCACTATGGGCTTAGGGTGTGACAAAAGTATCATAGCAATAGACCCAAAAAAGAATATGAAATTTAGAAAGATGAGTGAATTTACCAATACAAAACAATCATGGAAATGTAGGCGAAGAAGTGAAGCAGCCATTCGAGGTTCTTTTAGAACCGCAATTTCTACTTGATGATGAACAATCTCTTCCAACAAGGGACATGTTTCTTTGTAGTACCTAAGAACAAGAGGTTCGTTATCACACAAACTTAATTTGGTTTGCAATAATGCAATGACTACTAACAAAAATGTAATAATGTTGTTCATCATTCAAGAAAAAGACAAATGAAACGAGAATGTAAATCTGTCATGGGTGTTAATCTTTTCAACTATTTAAGCAAATTTTTAACGTATGGAGAATTCTAAAAAAATGATGCTTTTGACTCCTGCAACTGTTTTACATGTCTTTTTCTTACGTTTTCTAAACAACTTACCCTTTTCAACAATTCTTTGTTTGATCATGATCATATAGTCAAAGCAGATACACCTGATTTAAAGGCATTTGACTCTTCATTTTAGCTACAATTTTGATCCTAGACATGATCCTATATTAGAGCTTGAGTAAATCAATTTTGATCCTAGACATGATCCTATATTAGAGCTTGAGTACATCATCGGTTGAAGTATGCTAGAAGTATTCAATGCAGTTGTCGTTTGTGTGATATATAGGAATTCCCATCCTTAAAACCATGAAAAAGCATTACTTTATACCTAAGATTTAAACAACTCCCAACTACTACCTTTTTGGTTCTTCTAAGTTTAATACATGCATTGTTATCTTAGTTCCGTTTTCATAAGAATAGTAAATATAGAAGATTGTTGCAGATTTTTACTACAATCACATGATTCACCTTAAAAGGATTCAAACGCATAAATCGATCGATTGACTTTCACATGATTATATGAATGTTTTGTTGCCCTCACATTTTTTTAATAAACAAAAATAAGTTTGACCACTTGAATATCTTGACGTGGAATGAAGAAAATTGCATATAATTGAATTCCGAAGGATATTATAATTTTTTTATTCAAGGATTATCAATTATTTAACGATGAGTATAATATTGATATCAAAACAACAAGAAAATCAATTTGTTATTTTCATAACTCGTATGAAAGGAAGTTATGCATTGAAACTAATGCATCAAATCAAAGAAATAAAATGGTTTTGTCAACATTACATTTTGCAGTTGAATTGTTTAAATGTATTTTTGTTGTTTAACACTGAAATTATCATATGATATTTGCTCGTTATGATAAAACCACCAAACATTATTTATTTTGAACCACAATGACTTGATTTAACAAATAGGTGTCTTCGCTTAACAAATCCAGCCCAAACCAAATATAATTTTTGCCCTTAAGAACCTATAAAATATCATTGTATGAGTCTATTAATATATACTTTACATTAAATAACAATTTACCTAAAAGATAACAATGTATACTTATATTATATATGGGTTTAATGTATGTTCATGTAACCACATTTTATCGCTTACCAATTTATGCAACAAATATTTTTAACACAAATTATACAACTCTTCTTTTGTTATTAAAAATTCATAATTTTTTTGATACATAAATTATTAAAATGTCAACTTTATTGTATACACTGAAATATTGTTGTATATATCGGTTATAAGTCAATTTTGTTACATGCATTACTTGAAAAAAATGAGAAGTTGTTGCACGAATATCAATTTAACCATTATTCGTTATGTAAATACTTTTCTAAGATTAATATTATTAATAATTAAATTCCTTCCTTTATAATCAAATATTAAATAACATAAAAAGGATATACGTATTCATATAATAAATATACGTTACGTTTTTCTAAATCCAACGAACAACTCTAAATTTCAATCATGATATTTAAATGATCAAACAAACTCATCCACTAATAAAGAGCTCGTATCCATCACCTGAAGGTTATAAAGATTTGTTTTATCATTAAACCAAAGATAAGTCAAGGTTTTTCTGTATGATTTTTTATATTTTCATTAAATGAAAAGTATGTGAAATCAATAAAAAGAGGAAATACATTGGTTTTATGTGAATGGTGGGTACCTAATAAATTCAATCGTGGGCATTGATGTTCAATATGTCCCACGCCCATTATATCGGCAAAGAAAAATGTGATTTTTAAAGACTTTTAACCTTATTCATTTAATTCTTTTTAAGATGTTATTAAAATAGAATATAATATACGTATTTTTGGACATTTTTATTAAATTATTTTGAGTTTAATTATTAGTGTTTTTTGAAGGACGATACATGTTTTCCGTATTCATGTCACCATCAGATATATTAGAATCGGTTGTCGTTTTCTCTATAGAATTTATCAATTTGGTAATGAATTAGTAATCTAGAATTGGTATTTTAGAGAAAAAAAAATAATTGTGTTTTCTATATTTACATTTCGAAAATAAGATATCCCCAAATTTAGATCGAACCAATTTTCACTCTCTTTTTCTTTTTTGTATTTTTCAGTCATTTGGATAAAATAGTTACAACGGCCGCGATAAAAACGTCGTCAATATATAAACTATAAAGTTGAATATTTGTCCAGCCTGTCCACCAGATCTCCACCGTCACCGACCGCCGTCGTCGGCGATCGTCAACTCCGCCACTTTCTTCCTCAAAATATTATATAATGAATCTATCAATTATATAAACAATATAAGGCAATTCTCTCACACTCCTACTTAAGCTACTATTGCTCCACTCCTTCTCTCTGAAAGTCTGAAACTATCTTTTCTGAATGCCAAAGTTAGCGAGGGAAAGTTAGAGAAGAGAGTAGATCTGCGTTTTAATCAATCAGGTACTTTTTGCTTTGCTGCGGAATCAATAGTACTCGCTCAATTTCAATTCTACTACTTCTGATTTCTTCTGTTTGTATTTTGATTTGAACTTTGTTGATTTACTATGTGAACTCGTTGCATTTGTTATATTATGGTTCTTCGTTATAACCTGCTCGGACTTCTTTTAGATTTCGTGAAAATGATTGATGAATTGATGTTATTGTCGTTATATGCCTTTTTTCGTTTAATGATTTGTATTAGAGCAGCAATGTCGGTTTGTGATATAAAAGTTTAATTAGGAACTGGTTAACTGGTGCTATAGCTTGATCTGCATGCTTGTTCTGATCTGAATTAGTCAGTCGTTTTTACTAGTTTGGGATAAGTTCTCTACACTTAAGATGCTTTTTCTGGAAATCCAAAGCGACTTATTTCCCCTATCTTGATCTACTAAACCGATAGCTTTTCCTCCTAGGTTATCGCCTGGATCTCTGATTTTGTCTAGCACGCAGTAAAGCGAAGTGCGTGAGAAATTTAATAAGTCAAAATTTTACGCCTTATGCTCCCAAATTAAATGCACTTTAGGGTTTACCAAATTGAATGAAATGTTTTGTTTTAGGTAAAAGTGGAAATCCAAATTACTAATCGTTGCAAACCAAAAACTCAATTGATTTTGGTCCTCAAGCTCTCTCAATTTTGTTAAGATCAAAAGGGATCTTGGATATTTAACCAACAGCAACATTCCTATAGAGAGAGATCATTAAGATTTCCAATTTCTTGCATCCTAAAGTCTAAATCATTACTGTTTCCATTACCAAATATGCAATTACTTGTCTTGTTAGAAACTTATCTTGATCTCCTATGTTTCATTAAATCATGTTTCCATTTGTGTGTCTTGACTATTTTGATTGAAAAAACCCGTTTGAAGTAAGTTTTAACTTTCAGGCCCAAGGTTCTGAAGCACAATATGGGGTCTAAGAACAATCCAGCAAATAGAAGAAGAAGTCCATTATCTATAATCATTGTGTTTGGGCTGTGTTGTTTCTTCTACTTACTAGGAACATGGCAGAAAAGTGGTTTTGGAAAGGGAGATAGTATAGCAATGGACATAACCAAGAAAACAGAATGTGAGGAAGACTTTTCCACCCTTGATTTCCACCCTCATCACAATATTCCCATTCCCGATTCTTCCAAACCAAAATCCAAAACCTTCAAACCATGTGATGTCAAATACACCGATTACACCCCCTGCCATGAACAAGACAGAGCCATGAGGTTCCCAAGAGAAAACATGGTATACAGAGAAAGACATTGCCCCCCTCAAGAAGAAAAGTTGAAATGTCTTATTCCAGCTCCAAAAGGGTATTCAACTCCATTTCCATGGCCAAAAGGTCGTGACTATGTCCATTATGCTAATGTCCCTTTCAAACATTTAACTGTTGAGAAGGCGAATCAACATTGGGTTGAGTATCAAGGCAATGTCTTTAAGTTTCCAGGTGGTGGAACAATGTTTCCTCAAGGAGCAGATGCATATATTGATGAACTTGCATCAGTGATTCCAATTGCTGATGGATCTGTTAGAACAGCTCTTGATACTGGTTGTGGGGTAGGTTTTCTTATCAACCTCTTCCTTATCTTTTCTTATGGGTTAAATGCAAGAAGCATCAACATACATTCATAGCATCTTATTTTTATTCCTTTGTATTACAACAATGTTGGCATAGGTTGCAAGCTGGGGTGCATATCTGATGAAGAGAAATGTTTTAGCCATGTCATTTGCACCAAGGGATAATCATGAAGCACAAGTTCAGTTTGCTTTAGAGCGAGGTGTCCCTGCTATTATTGGTGTTCTTGGATCAATAAAACTTCCTTTTCCTTCAAGAGCTTTTGATATGGCTCAATGCTCACGATGCCTCATACCATGGGGTGAAAATGGTGAGTCACTACTAATTTAAAACTATAACTTTTCCAAATTGGTAGATTTTGTAAAGTTAATGTTGTAATAGGAAACATTGAAAATTATGTGTAGATGGGAAGTATCTAATGGAAGTTGATCGAGTTCTTAGACCTGGTGGATTTTGGATTTTATCTGGTCCTCCGATTAACTGGAAGACATACTATCAGACATGGAAAAGGTCAAAGGAGGATTTGAGAGCTGAACAAAGAAAGATTGAAAAACTTGCTGAATCTCTTTGTTGGGAGAAGAAATATGAGAAAGGAGATATTGCTATTTGGAGAAAGAAAGTTAATCCCAAATCTTGCAAAATCAATCCTGCAAATTTCTGTAAATCAACTGATACCGATAATGTCTGGTGAGTCTTCTTCTTCAAAGCAAAAGTCCTGGTCCCACCAAACACAGTACAACCTGTTCTGTCATGTCATGTCTGGACAGACTGTGCTGTTGTACAACTTGTGTGAGTACAACCTGTCATGTCAGTCTTGTCATCACAACATGTTCTGTAATGTCATGTCATGCCAATATAACTTATTTTTTTGTATAAATATGATTTTATAAAGCAAAAAAAAACATATCCGAAACAAAATTTTCAAAAAAAAGATGTAAAAAACTAAATTTAGGATGAATTTGTAACAAAATTTTGAAATCTAGGCCAAAAGTGTAAATTTTGGACCAAGTTTGTAATAAAATTTAAAATCTGGGCCAAAAGTGTAATTTTTGAAAGTTGGATGACTTGTTAACCGGATAAAATGGTCAAAATGAATATAAAAGAAGATAAGGACTAAATCGCCTAAACATATGGACTCCATAATTGTATATGCATATAATTTTATAGTTTTATTAAAACTTAATATATTTTGTGATAAAAAAAAAATGGTTGCTCTATTTATGATAGGTACAAGAAAATGGAAACATGTGTAACTCCATACCCTAAAGTAAACACTGCAAATGAAGTAGCAGGAGGGGAGTTGAAAAAGTTTCCAGCAAGGCTACAGGCAGTGCCACCTGTCATATCCAAGGGACTAGTTCCAGAAGTTTCTATTGAATCTTATCAAGAAGATAGTAAAATTTGGAAGACATATGTTGCTACTTACAAAAGGGCAAATCGGTTAATTGGCACTTCAAGATATAGAAATATAATGGATATGAATGCTGGTTATGGAGGTTTTGCTGCAGCAATTGAGTCTAATAAATTATGGGTGATGAATGTTGTGCCTACTATTGCTCCAAACACATTGGCTGCTGTTTTTGAGCGAGGTCTTATTGGTATATATCATGACTGGTGAGCTCCATAATTTTTTATAAAATTGGATATAATAAACAAAGGTAGTTATTAATTATTATTGCAAAGTTTATTCTCCAAATGTTGTCTTTCAGGTGTGAAGGCTTCTCCACTTACCCAAGAACATATGATCTTATCCATGGAAATGGTCTATTCAGCTTGTATGAGAACAAGTAAGTCTCTTGTTATTCATGAATACATATCTTTTAATTTATGATAAAAAAAAAAAATCTGTAACAAAGGTGTGTCGATTTCTTTGTAGCAAACATCTTTAAAGCATGACAAAATATTTGTCTTACTACACATTGTAGAAACATGATTTTTTTTTTTCTTTTTAGAAGTTTGAGGATTTCATGATGTACTAAACTTTAAATATGACAGGGATTATATAAAGACAAAACTTTTAGATGAGTGACCACAAATTTTAAAAATGTGACTTTATATAGTCAAAAAGTTTATCATCATAAAAGTTAACGTTTTTTGAATTATAATATGGGAAGATGGTCACTTTTCTCCACTTTACAGGAAAACATCGTACTATGAAATTATTTGTTATAATTTTAAAGGTAGCAATAGAGTTTTGAAATTGCAATGCTATAACAAAAAATGGAGATTAAATTGTTGAATTGCCTAAACAGATGTGATCTAGAAGATATCCTCCTAGAAATGGATCGAATTTTGAGGCCTGAAGGATTAGTGATACTTCGAGATGAAGTAGATGTGTTGACCAAAGTCATGAAAATTACAGCTGGCATGAGATGGGATGTTAAATTGCTTGATCATGAAGAGGGGCCTTTTGTTCCAAAAAAGATATTTGTCGCGTATAAACAATATTGGGTTGGAAACAAAGGGAATGATACATCATCAAGTGAGTGATTAACAAAACTGTTTTAGTAAAAAAAAAAAAGTAGTATTTTGTATTATCCCACGACCCAAACGGATTTTTTCCATAAGAGGAAAATCAAGATTTGCGTTGGTTATATGCATTTCGATGTGGGTGTTGATGTAGATTGTTTTAACTATTCGTAAAAACCTTTTAATGTTGTTATTTTTAGGTTATTTAGCTTAAAAGTATTGCATGGTTGATAGGTTTTTGATAAGGCATACAACGGATGTGCATGGTAATTGAGGTGACAACATAAATATGTTGAAAATTTTTGGTTATTAGGCTAAGGTTGTGAGTAATACTATGTAATGCAAGTTTTAATACCAAATATCAAAAAAACATAATTTAAAAAAATATCATTTAGTTGGGAAATTGAAGCTAAGGACTTCACATAGGAGTATAGAAGGTACCTACCTGTTCTTCAATTTGCACTCAAACCTCCTTTGTTTTGCTTGATTTGGAGTTTGGATGTGTTTTGAAGCTTTGAAACGTTAACATTGATGAATTCTAAATGGAGATGTATTTTGTGAAACTGATGATGAATGTAACCTTCGTTTAAGTTTTCTAACTCATTCCCATTAGAATCCATCATAACTAAAGTTTGACATATTAGGATTTAATTGAAGTTGTCATTGTGCTTGAGAACTTCAAAGGAGGTTTGAGTTGAATTTATGACGTGAATTCTTAATTCAGTAGTTTCAAAACGGGAAATTTTCAGAAAAGTTTCAATATTTTCGGAAAAGTTTCACTTTAGTCTCAAATTTTCTTTTTTGAACATAAAAGTCTCGATTATAATCAACCCAATCTGGACAATGTATGGAGGCGAAGACAGTATCAACCCATATTCTACTCAATTGCACTTTTGCGAAGATAGTATGAGAATGGATTTGGAAATGGTTTAACATGCATCACTTTCAATTTAACAAAGTGGGTGATCTGATTGAATATGCAACAAAGTAGGGCGATCGTAATTCGTATGAAGAAAAAGGTCTTGATCAACATATGTTATGGTACACTCTGGGAGATATAGAAGGCTAGGAATGTAAGGTTATTCAAAAAACTTATCACTACTCCCTCAGTTGTTGATAACATCCAATTGATGGTATACACGTGGCTGAAATACAGGAGCTCAGCAAAAATTTATGAATGGGCTATTTGGTGTTCATGCCCTCTTAACTAATTGAATTCCAATGCAATGCAATATGAGATGATAACGATGTAAACTGAAACTCTACTGTCCCATCTAGCTCCTTGCTAGTCAAGATCCCTCTTTGTTTTTCTTTCTTTCTTATAATATATTTGGCTGTTCTAAAAAAATATATTTGTTGTTGGTTGTTGGGAACCAATAGTAAATTTGTAAGATAACAAGAGTTAGTAAAGATATTTATTATTGGTAATTAATTGCAAGAACGTTATATAAATGAAAGTGGAAAGGTTAAAACTTTAGAAGAAAATGTTGGTATATAATTGGCAAGATAACATCATTTAAAGGACTTGTTTCGTTGAAGGAATATAGGATTAGACCATCCGTGCCACATCAGCACTACATTCTTTACCACTAACTATGAGATACTTACCACTAAACACACCACTCCACCTCATTTTTTTATTTAAATTTAATTCAAAAATACATTAAAACACAATAAAACATATTTTTTCAAATTAGTTTTTTATTTAATAAAACATATTTTTTTATTCAATAAAACATATATTTTTTTAAAATTAGTTTTTTATTTAAATTTAATTCACAAACACAATAAAACATATATTTTTTTAAAATTAGTTTTTTATTCAATAAAACAAAGATTACATTAATTTAAAACACACAACATAAAATAAAAAATATTAATAATAAAAAATAAAAATGCAACCACAAAGAACTTAAACTAGTTTTAAACCGTTATTTTTAATGACTAAATTTTTGGGACTTTCTTAATTTTCGCCAAGCTTCAGCGTGTTTAAACGGCGTGTGTTTCGTGCCTTCATATTGGTGCATAGTCACAACAAACGGGTCCGTTTTGTCCACGTTGTTTATAACAAAGTTATAAATCTCATTGAATTCAAGGCACTTTACCCTCATGTCGTGAAACTTGAAACATATTTTATCAAGATTACGACTTTGGCAACCCATTAAATCATGGAAAACGTTTCCAACTTTTACCCAAAAATTAAGAGGTATTTCTGGGTCTTCTGAAACAGTTACCCAGGCTAATGCTAAGTTCTCTTCTTCATTTTCTGATCAATTCATCATTTTAAGAGTCATTGGCTTTGAGTTTATGAAGCAAAAGAAGTGTGTGATTGTGAGAAAAAGAAAAGAATTATGTGAGTAAAATGAATGAATAAGTGTGGTATTTATAGAAATGGTTTAATGTTGTTTGAATAGTAAATTAAAAAAAAAAGAATTTAACCCTAAAATATGACCGTTACTGTGCCACCCAATCACAATTTCCGTTTGCATTCGTTGTCCCGACCACGGCTCGTCACGACCACGAACCAACATTAGCCACCGGGATGGTGTGCACGGTCGTGGTTCGTGGCCAGCTAGACCACGAACCCGTCCGTTGCAACCATACCGGACGACCTTATCACGTTGTTTGGAAATAAGGTTGTAATCAGGGCCGGTCCAGACGGTGGGCAACCCGGGCGACCGCCTAGGGCCCATGACTCCATGGGGCCCAAAATTGATGGGCTATGTAGTGTATATATATAAAAAAATTATTACCAATATGATTTTTAGGACCTAAAGTTGGTTGAAACTCAAACTAGCTCAAAAAATAAACAATTTGGCTTGTTTGTTATTGCTAATTGCATGCGTTTATAGTGAAGAATAAATGATATTTTTTTGAATCTTTATTATATTTTTCTTTAAGGGGCCCTTTTTTTTTTTTTTTTCGTCCCGGGCCCCATATACGTTTGGACCGGCCCTGGTTGTAATGTTGCTTTAGCAATTTGTCGTGTGGATGGAGAAAATTTGTGTTGGTTTGTACAAGCTCTACTCAAATATTTTAAAAGTCATTTTAAGGAACTCTAAAATATGACTATGTTTAGAGGTTTTTGAAAAATGTTATAAAATTCCTTATATTTTTGTCTAGAATTTACCGAGTAGTTAAAATTCCATTAAATTATGATTACAATTCTTTTAATAAATTTTTAATTGAAAAACTACATCAAGGCCATCTTAATTCATGTTGTAGTTCTAACAAATTTCATATCAGTCGAGAACCGGTTTTAGCTTTATACTCTTTTGTTCATCTCTAAATGTAAGCATCCGAGTACATAGTTGATGATACATTTATTCTTGATGAAGATTATAAAATTTTCATTTATGAACCTTTAAAAATTTAAAAATAATACAACTCAAAATCAATCTATGTGTAAATAAATGAATTAACTCTGTCAAATCTATTTGTTACGAAAATGAATAAAGCAAGACCATCCCATGATGCCATTATCATTATGATGTATCAAGGTATGCCAAAAGGAAAAGGCCAAAATATCAAGAATCCCTTTGAGTAGGGTGTGAACTGTGAAGTAATTTGGAAATTCAAATTTTACTTTTTATATGTTATTATAAAGTATTAAATATTTAAATGTACAAGATGTATCTATTCAAATATAATAATGTCTTCTCGGATCTATTCAAATATAATAATGTCTTCTCGGATCTATTTGTTAAGTTAAGAGGCGTATGAATGGATTTGTTGATATGTATTTTACATAAGATCCTTCTGGATAACTGAAATTTGATATTCAAATACGTAAATATTAAACAGTTAAACGCCATAAATACGGCTCTAAAAAACAAAAAGAGTTCGAGACAAGTTTATACTATAAACTCATTATATGCTTAAAGCATCCAAAATAAATAAGACTTTTTTTTTGTGCCTCAACTCAACAAACCATAGTCTATTTCTACAATTTCAATTTGTGTCATTTTTTTTTATACAAATTAGTATACTTCATAGTATATGAAGCTTAAATAACTTAATAATATATAACTATATATATTTGTATGTCATTGAAAAAAAATTAATATATATATATATATATATATATATATATATATATATATATATATATATATATATATATATATATATATATATATATATATATATATATATATATATATATACACTCTGATTTAAATTTACATATTATTTTATATAAATATACATATTGAGATTAAATTAAAATAAATAAATATTATATATACACAATTTTTTTTTTTCTAAAAGGCAACAAATTAAAATAAATAATTCTTAATTAATATATAATAAATGATAGACAAAATTGCAAAAATGGTCCCTGTGGTATGCAAATTTTTGGGGTTTTAGTCCAAACCACGAGTTTTTTGGATCCATGATCCTTTTAGAGTGGTTTGTATGTGGTTTTGGTCCCTGGACTTAACTCCCGTTAAGTAGGATCTATTAAGCCCCCTCATGTGCCTCACATGTGAGGGTAAATTCGTCATTTCATATGTAAGGGACCATTTTTGTATAATCTGTTTTTTTTGGCTTATTTGATCTTTACCCTCTCTCTCTCTCTCTCTCTCTCTCTCTCTCTCTCTCTCTTAACAAACACAAACTCAATTAAACAATAAGCAATTCCACTAAGAAAAACAAACACAATTGTCGAAGACGGAGCTGCCAGGTCAAACCACAGTACATCGTGATCCCAAACAGCTTTACGATCTCAATTTGCTACTTAGCTCTGACGTTCTTTGTCACCAGATTGTAGATCGAGGGGTGGATTTGAAGAGAAAGCGGCCAAATATTCCAAACAACACCTGGTTCGATCATTGTAACAACCGAAAAATCCAGCCAATTTAAATTTTCAAAAAAAAAAAAAAAAACAATCCACTCTAATAACACTATTACAAAAGGTTTTCAATACATTATTCATCAGAGTATTCCCAGGTTCATTTTATAAACATAAGCACGAGGTACGGTACGATCACGCCTTTGCCTTGCCACTGCTCCCTGAAGAACCTGAAAAACATTAAACCACAACTGTAAGCCTGAAAGCTTAGTGAGATACCCCCAAGATACCAACCTCATATACAATACACATATCGCACTATCTCATAACGAATCACAGAACAGTCATGCATAACGGGTATACTGCGGGACTGGTCCGCCATGACGAGCCTTCAGTCCACCTGGTCCACCCTCCGAGTCCAATCAAGTACCTCGAGTCTACAGTGTGGTTGGTCCGCCCGCACTGGGCCTTCAACTCACCTGGTCCACTCTCTGAGTCTACAGTATGACTGGTCCGCCCGCATCGGGCCTTCAGTCGGCCTGGTCCACTCTCCGAGCCTCGGCACGTC